GCCTCCAACAACGATCACCCATGGCCACCTCTCTCCATCCTGCAAGATTTAAAGGGCCCTCCAGTTGATCCAGGGAGCACATGACCTGCCGATCAGCTGGAAGGCCCTTTAAATCTTGCAGGAGGGGAGGGAAAGGGGTGGCCACTAGCCCCGCACCTCTACTCCAAGGGGCGATACTGCTTGGAATTCAGGCACATGAGGCCCGGCTCCCACTGGCCAAAAGTATTTAAAGGGACCCTTTAAATGCTTTTGGCCAGCGGGGGGTTTCTGCACCTGCATTCCAAGTGGCGATGCTGGTCCCTGTTGACCAAAAGCATTTAAAAGGACCCTTTGAATGCTTTTGGGCAGCAGGGATTTCAGGCAAATTGCTGCTTGGAGTTCACGCATGTGGCCAGTGGCTGCCCCTCTTCCTCCCTTCCTACAAGATTTAAAGGGCCCTCCACCTGATCGGCAGGCCACGTGCTCCCCCAATCAGCTGGAGGGCCCTTTAAATCTCTCAGGAGGGGAGGGAGAGGGATGGCCATGGGTGGTCATTGTTGGGGGTGGGGCTTTCCCACCAGCCAGCTAGCCAGTGGTGGGCTGAAGCCCCAAAAATTGGGGGAACCCTCGCTTGGGGGGTCTGGCAACTCTATGGCCAAGTACTACATCACAATGTCAGTCGCCTAAGGTTGACAGCGTGGAGGCTCCAGCTCAACATTTGAGATTTTTACAGAAGGTGAATAAGATCCTTCTACGTTCACGTAAACCATCCACTAGAAAGCCTTACCATCTTAAATGGAAACATTTTTCTGAATGGTGTAGGGATAAGGATTTCACTCCTCCTAGGGCACCTCTGCAGGCTATCTTCGAATATTTTCTTTCCCCCTAGGGCTGGGGGGCTGGCCTACTCCTCTTTGAAGTCCCATTTGGCAGCTATTTCCTGTTATCATCTGGAATTAGTGGTAAATTGGCCTATTCGCACCAGTTGTCTAAAAGATTCCTGAAAGGCTTATTCAATCTCTATCCTCTTCCGGGACCCACTGGTTCCCCAGTAGTCCCTGTCCTTAGTACTTTCACAACTAATGTTTATATCCTTTGAACCTTTGGCTATTTGTCCCATGACTAAATTGTCCAAGAAAGTCTGCTTTTTAGTGGTCATGACCTCTGCTAGGTGGGTCAGCGAGTTGGTTGCACTATGTATGGATCCACCTTTCCTTAAGGTATTTTTCAAAAGGGTGGTCCTCAGACCCAGCATTCAGTTCCTACCCAAAGTGGTGTCTAGATTCTGTCTCAGGAGATCATTCTGCCAGTATTATTACCTCTGCCAGAATCAGAAAATGAGAAGACCCTGTACACTTAAGATGCAAGAAGGGTTTATTTTACTTAAGGAGTTTTAGAAAGGACAAGGCACTTTTTGTTTGTTTCTCTGGCTCTAATAGGGGTAAAAGGGCTTCATCCCAGACTCTGTCTTCTTGGACTGTGAATACCATCAGGGAATGTTATAACCAAGCTTCCATGTCCTTTGGAGGTTCTGGCCCATTCCACTAGGGCAAATGGCATCTTCGGCTGCCTTCTTGGATGGAGTTCTATTGCCGGAGATTTGTCGAGCAGCAACATTGTCTTCGGCCCACACATTCATGCATCACTATGCCCTGGACCTGCATGTGAAAAGAGAGACACAAGTAGGCAAAGTGGTTCTACAGTCCTTATTCAAGTGACTAGAGCATTTCCTGCCACCTGGTTGTGGGACTGCACAGAAGATTGGCGATGAAAACAGGGTTGCACTTACATGTAACTGTTGTTCATCAAGGATCATCTGTGCAGGCACACATACCCTCCCTCCGGCCCCATTGCATGCTCTCTCTTGGCTTCAGCACTTGAGGTAGTGAGGGTGGGAGCACTGGTGCTCCGGAGCACATAACCATTTGGGTGGGAACGATCTCTTCTGGCGCACAGCACCCCCTGGAGGCTTTTAGCTGTAAAAACCTCTCCACAGCAGACCTGCTCATGCACGGTACCCAGAAGATCCTCAATGAACAACAGTTACAGGTAAGTGCAACCCTGTTATCTTTGTCATTTTGCCTATCAAATGGATACTTCCTCAGTGCGCTGTCATGGAATACTTGTTTCTGGGTCTATGTGAAACTGTTACATGGCTTGTTCTATCTAAGATCATCAGGAGCTATGATCTTGATGTCAAAGCTAGTCCAGGTATGTAATTCAGGAGGACATTTCTCTTTCAACAACAATATCACCTGTCTGCCCATTATGATTCATGCAGCAGCGTATTCTGTATAAAATGTAAATAGATAGCTTGGCAAGGGTACCCTGTACCCACCATGCCATTAAGAAGCCTTAAGTACCATCAAGTGGGGTGGTAGATTTCACAGACATACCTCTCCAGCTGCAGCCCACTGAGCCTACCAAGATTTTGGTACTAGAGGGTAATTGGACCCTGAGAAACAGCATAGTGGGAGTCTGCAGGGGGAAGAGGACATTTGCAGAATTACCACTCTCCCTTGAAGAAATGTGCCCTTAAGTTTTCAGATACAGGCTGATATTAACAGGTACTAGGAAACGGAGTCACCAGTGCAATTGGATTACTATTCAACTCCTTATGCACTGCAAAGAGATTTGGGGTGTGTGATGTTAGACTATAGAAGGTATTAAATATGCTGTTTGTTTGCTTAGCTAAAGTTTCGACTAAGGGGATCCACAACTTGAGACAGAGGTGCTTTGAGGAAATTTAGGGGCAATTTGCTAGTGGTGGCACAGCTGTGTTTCTGTGGTTAAGGGCAGGGGTCATTTCGTAGAAAAAGAGCTAGGGGAACTCATGAGCATAACTCATTAGCATATGCCACACCCCCTGACATCACCGGAAGTGTGTCATAAGGCCACACCCCCTGACATCACCGGAAATGTGTCATAAGGCCACACACCCCGCCCCCAACGGTCCCGGCCGCCACCACCGGCCTTGCAGCTCCACTGCCGAGCCCCATGAGGGGCCCGGCGGTGGACCTGCAAGGCTGGTGGGAGTGCAAGGAAGCCCCGCGAAGGCCCTCCCTGGCCCCAGGCAGGCAGGGGTAGGGAGAGGCAGGGAGGATGCAACTTACCTTCCCTCTTCTCCTGCCTCCTCCTGGCTGAATGGGGGCCGGAAGTGGGGCGGCCGGAAACAGGGGGCGGGGCTTCGTCATGTGCCCCGCCCCCACGTACCTCACCCGGGGGAACTGTGTTCCCCCGCGTTCCCCCCCGAAATGACCTCTGGTTAAGGGTATCTGCAGATCAATTACTGAAGGTACAGAATACCAAGCACAACGCTACTACAACATTACCAATGATGTTGCTCCAGTGCTTGAAGAATCCAGTCACAAATGGTGAAGTATCAATCCTGCAAGCTATCTTCAGACATGAAGTACGTAGACCAGATTTTTTAGGGTTTTTTCCTCCAGATAGTTATTTACTTTGCAATAGCTCCTTTGACTTTATGCGTCCATTAAATTTATAAATTGGCTGCTGTTGGTACGAAAAGCTGTTCTTTGTCTATGTGAAGTTTAAAAAAAAATAAAGCAGTACAAAAGTGACAATAAAAGATTTTTTTTTTAATGGAGCTATTTAGGATTTTAAATGTTAATTTAACTGTTTTTGTTGGTGAAATGAAGTGTGCAGTTTCTGTAACACCAATTGAAAAACAAAGTTATCTAGAGATGATAATGGTACTGTCATTTGTACATATGGCTGCACAAAGCAAAAAGAACTCTAGCTTTTGCAAAGTTCAATTAGGAACAGAATTGACTTGAGCCATCTGTTACTGAAATCTATAATTTTTATTATTTATTTCAGTGCAGCTGAAGTCTCATAACATTGCCTAATTTTGGAGTTTTGTTCTTAATTACAGTGGGCTAAATCATACAGTGATTGCCAAAACATTACCAAAACAAAATTTCTATTCATTCATGGTCTTTAATAATGAACAATACTATGATGGTATGTGTGTTGTCTAACAACTCACTTGCTACTTAAATCATGTGGACATCCAAATTTTACCCATACCTTAAGCTGATATTGTGTAGGCCTTATTGAGAAAAGCTTAACTGAAATCCCACTTGTGGCAAATCTATTCTACTTTAGCTTTGTACTAGCATGTATGCTAATGATAGAATATGGGGTAACTCACATAACCCTTAGAATGCCACCACGAGTGCCATAGATAATCCTACAGTGAAAAATACCATTTAGCAGCATTCCTGGGCTATTTTAGGACTTTTCCCCAAAGGCAAAACAAAATAAGAAACCTATGGCACCTTAAATATTTGGCTTATTTGTTGTAGCTTGGTATCTGGCATGTCAAATCGTAGGAGCAGGATGTAAGAAATGTTCGAATGGCTAGTTTTTAAGCACTGCTGTGTAAATTTAGAATTTAAGAAACTGTAAAGTCGTCAGCAAATTTTATATTTTGGTGTGATCTTGGAAAATATGTAGCTATTGAATCCAGACACCGTGAAAGAAGTCTTCCTGACTCCTCACATTAGAAGTCTGTGTGTAAACAGGAGTGTTAAATCTACTTTCCCAAGAGTTTCACAGCCTCTCACACAAGACCTGACTTATTGTAGCACTCTTAACAATCAATTCTAGAAGACTGCTAACAGTCCTTTCCCTTCTGTTCATAGTTCTTTGGATATGCTATACAGTTTTGGATGCATCTGTTACTTCCTTGTGATAGCAGATTTTTTTTTTTCATGTTTGTAGATTGGTTTGCATTCTGCAGGACAAGTTAATAAAGGGCACTTTAACTGTGATCTTTTAATTATTGCTTTATTCCTCAGAAATGCTTTGATTGTCATAGCATTTTGGATCATGGAGTTATTTTGTGGTTACATTGTGCCTCTGAGCCACTGAAGAATTGCACTTAAGGCCCAGAGAAATATTATTGGTGCAAATGTGGTAGATCACATGTTCACCAGTGAAGTAGTAGTTAATTTTATGTATAAGTAATATGGTTTGATCTGTATGCCTTCGCTCAGGTGGAGCCCGACAAGCTGAAGACACTAACAGAAGGTCTGGAAGCTTACAACCACGTCAGAAAGAGGAATAGAAAGTAAGTAGTCTTATTTTTTTAATGTTTCAGGGTGTTAATAAGCTGTAGTTATTGCAGAAAATTGAAGAGTGGTTTGAGACAGATTGCTGCTTACAATGTGTAATCCCACTTTCAGTTTAGGTAAACAGGTTTTTCAGGGTTTGGCATGGTTTTAAAAACCTGCAAAACCTGTTTGATTACAGAAAAGAGTGCTGTTCCTCTCAAAACCAGGAGCTGTGTTTTGATTATTTTAGGTAAAGTCAAAGTCAAATAACTTTAATGGCATAGCAGTAAGATACATAGATATACAATATCACAGTATGGATATTTAGGAACATAATAAACAATATGAATCATTCCTTTACGAGACTAGATCTAACTTTGACTGCTTCGGCAAGAAACTTGGCCACTAAAGCTGTAATATTAGGATTAGTATCCTTTAGTAGATACTGAATAGCTTTTTCCCTATTAGAACTAAAATTAGGAGGAAATAAAGATGACAACAATTCTTTGCGTATGGCTGAGTGAAATTGACAGTCAAAAATAATATGATATATTGAATCCACAGATTTTAAAGGACAAGAACATAACCTTTCATGTAGGGGGATTTTATTTTATTAAACCAACCTGAGAGCATTTTTGAAGGTGCAAAGGCTGAACTAAGTTGTGGAGATAATGGGCTATCTGGCCATATTGAATTGGGAGATTCACCTGAGCCTGAGAAAATATGTGAAATTGTGCAGGACATAACATTTGGAGTTCAAGGTCAGGCAGTCTCCATTTGATAATCTGGAAAATAGAGACTTCATCCAGTGAATAGAAATATTCTAAGGAGAAGCCGATTTGACTAATTGTCTTCTCAATATATGCCAACCAGGTTGTGCTATAAGCATCATTTTTAAAATGTGAGATTAAAGAATTTGGTGGTGATCTGAAGTGTATTTTCAACCAATATTATTTAAGGTATCACAAAAGCCTTGAGCGATTTTTGACTAATCCAAAATACCATATCAGTTTATAGAGTTTCCTCTTAACAGCTTGCAGGCAAATCTTATTTTATTTATTTACATTATTTATAGTCCGCCTTTCTTACAGGGATTCAGGGTGGATTGCACACATTATCAAGGTCCTGACAATGTTGTTTCCTCTTTTGGTGCTTTAAATCAAGCTTTGTAAACTGTAGAAGAGGCTTTGACTATTAATGAATCAGTGAAATGAATATATTGTATTGCTACATGACAAGAAGGATATGTTCTTTATATGATTAGCAATTATTTTTACGTTTTTACTGAGATTATTGTTATTATTGAAAATAATATTCTAAAGAGATTCTGTATAGTTGGCATAAAAGACATTGATATAATTTCCATTATCTTTCACTATGGGCAACAAATATTGCAATTTTAGGCTTACAAATGCAAAATTATGCATAATTCTGTTCTGTTGCATACAGCTGAGTCCAATTGAAATGGGGGGAAGGGTTTGAGCACTTCCTTCTATCTTGGACTGTGGATTAATATAAAAATAAGAGAGAAATAATCAAAAACGTGTGGCGCAAGAATGCTAGTTGCAGGCAGAATTGGGACCTTTTTAGTGGGGAATGGTACATCAGTATTATCAGTATACATCAGTTTTAATTGATGTAATCATACATTTTTGTAAACCGCTTTGAGCTCTTAATCAAAGAGAAGCAGTATAAAAATTGAAATAAACATCAGTATATCTAAATCTCACTGTGGCTTCGTCTGTGGATTCTTAAATCTGGAGACTAGAACCATGACAAGACTAGACTAGACTAGTACAAAATGTGGCACCAGGATACTGTAGTGTAAAGGAGGAGTTGGTGGAAATCTTGCACACACCCATGCACGTTGCTCCATTGGATCCAAACCACTGTATCCTTACAAATCACTAAAAACAATATTGCCACTGGCTCTCACCATTATTAACACAGTCAGCATTCTGCATGCTATAACTTCACAGTAGAGTGATCATAATTAACCTTTCAAAAAGAAGATTAACTATTTGAGTTTGGTTTCATCTTGTGTTTAAATTTAGGGTTTTTAATATCCCATGTTCCACTTATGCAGTTGGCCCTCCCCATGTGGTTGCCCATTCGACATTCAGCCCATAGCCATAAACTTACACCATTGGCTAGGAGCTCCTGCATTGCTATAGGTGAAGAGAACCAGGGTGTACAAGTGCAGCCACTGGAAGATGAAGCTATTGACAGTATTTCAATAGAAATGTTTCTTAAGAGGTTTTAGGCTAGACATAAATATTTACCCCTCCTGGTACCATAGTGATGTATTGCTTTCCTCTCACAAGTAATGAATGATGCCTTTAGTTCTATTCTTGATCCAGGTTTCTGCAGAATCATCAGTTAGTGATGCAGGCAAAGAAGGGGGGTCTTTTACGAAAAGGAGGGCAAAATGCATACAGGTTTTATGGGTGGATTCACATAGCAAGAGAGGTGGATTTATCTCTCACAGTTCCACAGGGCCTGCAAGACGGAGCTCTTCTGCCAGGCTTTTAATTAGGAGCCGCCACTACTACCACCACCACCAATTATTTGGTGGTAACAACGGGGTGATGGGATGGCCCAGTATAAGATCTCGCTACAGTATTGCGATGGGGTCAGGACTGTTGAAGCGGGCTTTGGGTACATCTTTAGGTCACCATCTGATTCGATTGATCTGATCAAATTGGTAACATCATTGAGCACTTTATCATTGTTAAATATGGTTGATTTTATGCTGTTTTTAATGTTTTATGTGGCACATGTTGCCCTTATTTGTAAGGCGCCTTGAGCCTGTTCGTGGGGAGGGCAGGATATAAGTGTAACAATAAATTTAAAATGAATAAACAAACAAACAAACAAACAAAAATATTTCCAGATACTGCTTCACCCCTTCAAGAGCAGTTTTCCATTTAAAGAAAAAGCCCATACTCCTTTTTGTATGATTTCTAGTGATTTCAACCTGGAGTTTTTCTTGCTGTAAATTCCATCACGTCATGCAGAGACTTCAAACTAATCAGTCCTTCTATTTGTACATTCTAAAAAGAGGTACCTGCTTCACCTGAAACATCCAATCAAAATATTATTCCTTTTTCTTTTGAAGGATCCTTGGCATTTAAATTTTTTGGTATCTTTAGCCATGGCTTCTGTATATTTGAAGTATTCTATAAATGGTATATAAGATTAAATGTTATCAAGTTAGTTTCCTTTTTAAATGAAAGATTCTCTGTGTGTTTCACTTATTGAGAGTGAAGGGTGTGTGTGTTTGGAAGAAATAGTTCATAGGAATGGCTCCTTATAGGTCACAACTTTATTTTGGTGGTTTATGGTGTCATAACCACAAAACAAATGTTTTGTCTTCCATATAGCCTTGAAATTTAAGAGCACAGTTACACATATTGAGGATCTTTAAAATAAACCTGATAAATATTCCAAACTAGATTCTCTTATTAGATCCTGCAAAGCACAACACACTTGCGGGAACAAATTTTCCCCAAGTTCTCCCACCCCAACAGCTGTTTTGACCCAGGGAAAGCTGATTTCAGGGGACCAACACCGAAGAAAGGCCACAAAGGGTGGAGAAGGAGTAGAGTGCTCAGTGAGGGGAAAGAATGAGGTGAAATCTCCCCTCCTGGCTCTTCTGCCAGTGGCACTTCTGGTGGCTGTACTGCCATAAAAGGTAGAGAGAGGCAGTTTTGCCACTTCCCTCTCCTCAACGTAGCATATCTTTTTGCCCACATGGATCCCCCAGCTACAGCCACTGGTTTTTTGGCAGTCAAAAGAGGCTGCCAGGGAGGAATAAGGTCTGTGAGCGCCTTCTACTCATGCTTCGTAGGATCTAACCCATTACATTGCAGTGCATGGGATCTCTGTATTACTATCACGTATCTGCCATGATTACTAGCAACCAGTGTTCCCTCTAAGCTGAGTTAGTGTGAGCTAGCTCATAGTTTTTTAGCCTCCGGCTCACACATTTTTGTCTTAGCTCAGGAAGGAGGGCTCCGGAGCAAACTGATTGATGCAGTCACCAAATCGCTTGCTCACAACTTTAATGCCAGTTGCTCACAAAGTAGAATTTTTGCTCACAGGACTCCACAGCTTAGAGGGAACATTGCTAGCAACTGAGGTCTTCAGTCACTGGTACGTGCAGGGAACTGAGCACATGAGCACTTATAACACCTTGCATCTGATTAAGTGCGTTTTGACTCACAAAAGCTTATAGCCTGGGAAATGTGATTGGACTTCAAAGGTGTACTGGACTCAAAAAGAATTTTTGCCACACCTGGTATTCTAATGCAGTTTTCTACATGGAAGTTATTTCTGCCCAAAAACTACATCTTGTGTTAAGCAGCCCTTAAAGTTTCAGACATCTGTGGCACTTCAAGCTCCACCAGGTGTCACAGAATGCCATATAAAATGGCACAGAATATCAAGATGTCATGGAATACTCTACAATTAACTTGACGGTGGAAAGTAACTCTGTAGCATCCTTTTACTGACTGCTTGTGAAGTTTCATTGAACTCTCCACCTCTGGAATAAATGCACTGTTGTTCATTGAAGGAAGCAGGTAAAACAAGCCATTGTTAACAGCTCCTCAGCAGCCTAATGATGCTTTGAGGTAGTAGCTGAATAATTCCTTTGAGAGAGGAAAAAAATTGGCACATGCATTCATTGGATAGAGTTAAGTTAAAGAAAATAGTACATTATCCTCTTGATACCTGCTGGGCTTTCCCACTTACTTTCTCACTTACTTTCTCACCTCTCCCCACCATGAATTCTTCAAATGGCCACTGTAGTATTTCAGTAAAAATGTAGTTATGCCATTATTGGATTTTGATTAGTTTATTCTTGGTTGTTCAGTTTGTCACCTTAATAATGCAAGGCTCCCTGTTAAAAGGAATAAACCAAAATATTGATTGAATAATAGGATTGCTGGATTCTGTATGCTTTTGGAATCAGGGATTGCAATTTTAAGCTTACCATTAAGTTGAAAGTCAGCTTTGTTCATTGTACATACAGAACGATCTTTCGCTGAGAAGCTGAATTGAATGGAGTCAGCCTTGTTACTTCAATTTGCCATATGTTTCAAAATGGCAGATTTCTACTACAAAGGCTTATGAGCATTATTATAAACTTTTCCCTCTATTTTTATCCTAGAAGTGGAAAGTTAAATAACCATTTAGAAGCTGCTATACATGAGGCCATGAGTGAACTCGACAAGATGTCTGGGAATGTAAGTGTTCAGTACATTATATTTAAGATGTTAACAACAAACTGCTGTTCTGTAGTTTAACGTGACACTGTAAAATAAGAAAACATTTATAATGTCAGTTGTTTTCTGAGAATCAAGACCATCCTTTAAAAACTGGGGTTTATATTATGCCACTAGACATTGTGTCTGTGTGTGTCTGTGTGTTGAAGCTTGTTTTAATGCTTCTGATTGTTACCTTGAGGGCCCTAAGCCAGGGAGGGCGGGGTAAAAATGCAAATAAATAAATAAATAAATAAATAAAATAGGAAGGGAGCGTAAAATGTTTCAAATAAAAAAGAACAACCTCATTCAAAAACACATGTACAATCATAAATGGTATATAAAAACTTGGATATATCGTAAGACTGATAGACATGCAGTGTTCCCAGTCCCTTCGACATATTAAGGGATTGCAAGAGAGCGGATTCAATCCTCCAGAGCACAGGAGCATTTTCTGCCATATGCACACACAATGCTGCCCCATGGTAGAGGCAATGACACTACTGATGAGGAGGGGAGGGATAGGCAGATGGGAATGTAAAGCAGCAGGAAGGGACAGGATGAGGAGTAACCCTCCCCCCCCCCCGGGTTGAGGCAGCAGGGGAGGAGGAGCTGCTGCAGAAGGCTGGCCGTTGCTTCCAAGCAGGCTGGCCAGCCATCCTGCAGAGCAAGGGAAAGGACTGGCGGGTGAACAGAATGACTGTGAGAGCAATGATGAGGGGCACAGACATTCTGGCAAAGCGGTATGGTGGGGTGGTATGATGGGCTGCCTCTGACAACCAACTGACTGAGGGCCTGCTCGGCTTCCCCACTGAGGACTGGCGGGAGTCAGGTTGCCCATCTTTCTCTGGGCCAGCAGCAGGTTTCAGCCACTTGCTCAAAGGAGGCCAGAAAGGCCTTGGCATTGTCTCATGGAGTGGTGGGCCTCCTGATCACTGGGGAAGCTGCTAAAAGAAAGCATGGTTCGTGGTTGGGAAGGTGAGAAGGGAGCAGGGAAAAGGCAGAGGAGGGGAAGAGGAATAACATGGGGAAGGCGACAGAGGGGGAAATGAAGCGACCCCGGTAAGTCCTTGCAGGTTCCTTCCTTGTGTGTATGTGTGTGTTGAAAGAAGGAATCAGCAGAAGCCTCCAGTATGCTACCCTTTCAACCAAAGAAGTTTGTTCAACACTGCCTTGGAACCAACTCTTATATTTAGAACAGAGTTAAGCATACCTTGATATAATGATGTCTGCCAGGCTTTTTAAAGTAAAATAGTTACGTTTGTTTCTCTAAAATGCCAAGTAAGGTTTAAGTAGCAGGAGGCTCAGTTTTTGCTTGGTGAACTGGTACCGCTAAATGTATGAGAGCCAGGGAGTCACCACTTCCACTTGCCCCTCAGCCATGTCCTCACTAGGAAGTCTTAGGCATGCCTCCGTCTCTCAGTCTTGGTATCATATCCGTAATACGAGGACGATTATATGCTTTATACTATACAGCTGCTGTAAAGATGACTGAAACGCTTTGAACGAGAATGTTTTATGAATATCAAGTATTATTCTCTGAGAATCTCACCTACTTTTTGTTGTTCTTTAACCCCCCCTCCCCCTTGTTACCTTCCTGCTTTTCAGGTACACCAAATTCCACAAGGAGACAGACAGTTGAAGCCTCCAAAGCCGAAGAGGAGGAAGATCTCTAGATAACATTGAATGTCTTTGTTACTGGTCCAGTACTTAATAAAAACATGCACATAAATATATATCTATATATATATAAAAATATATATAGATATATAGATATAGATATATAGATATAGATAATATCAGGATAGATAGAGTTCATCACCACAGGGTGCTAAAATAAACAGTGGTACAGTATTATCACTGGTAAAGAGGAAGACATCGAACCAGATCCTCAAAAGATTACAGTGTGTCTATAGAACCTTTTTTTTTCTATAATTCTAAAATTGTGATTATAAGAAATAGTCCAGATGTTTCTGCAAAATTTTCATTGTGTATATAGATAAAACAGAATTTCATGGTGATATCTGAAATGTAAATACTGTACAATATTGTCATGTACAAGCGTACCTAATGCACAGTTTATCTTTTATTGTACAAAAAAATAGTGTACAAAATTCTTTGGTTTCTATTGAGTACACATACAAGAGACTACCAGTGTAAAGTGATAAATAAAAATACAGCCTAAATGCTTTTATATAATAATGTAAAAGATGCTGTTTTTGTATTTAACAGCAGTGAAAAGGCATGATTATGTAATACCTTAATTATGACATAACACTTCTCGCCACTGAGTGTTCATTTATAGTGTCTGTTTGGAATGAACCTTGCCTGGAAGTACTGTACTCCATTTCAGGTCTCTGTAGGAGAGTGCAACCTTGCAGATTCCTAAAGGGATGTGGGATTGCAGGTTTACTTAAGAAGTCAAATGCTGCAACTACCAGTTGCATTTTTTTAATTTGCCTGAGTTTTAAAGTAGAGAACAGTAGATTTTTTAATTAAATAATATTTAGATAGAATATTTTTAGTCAGCAACTGCTTTAACAGAGTTTCATAGCCACCTGCTTTAAAATCATGTTAGAAAAGCATTCATTTTGCAATCCATCAGAGCCTAAATTGGCGAGCCCAATTTGTTGTCACTGAGAACACTGTCCTTTGTAATATTCAAGAGCAATGGCACAGTCTGAAAAACAGTTCTCATTGCTAATGTTATCAACCATCATACCTTACAGTATAGGAAAATAGGTGTTCCTGAAACGAAGGAAGGCAGTTCAGTGACCAGTTGTGCTTGTTTATTTTCGACTGAATTCAGTGGTATCAACATAAGTGGTCACAGAGTCGCCTTACCTGCCAACACTGACACCTGTCATACAGTATTAATAAACTAGGTGGCTTACAAAACTATTAGTGGCAGTGGCCAGGATCCCAAAGAACTGCACAACTAGTTCTGTCTACCAAGAACCCTATCTCTCCCCTCAATGTGATGTGGTAAAACACGGCTGAAACTGAAGGGTCTTCAAAAAAGAGTTTTTGATATGAAGTGGGGTCTCTGGTTAAAAGGAAAAAAAAAATCCCACCAAGCCGAAGTAGTTCTTTGGATCCAGCCAGTGATGTTATCAGTATTATGTAACATATCAGATTTATTTTATTTAATAAGAATTATTTATACCATTAACAGATTCTTATATATAAATATATAAATATATATATTAATGTGGCAGAAATGTGCAGGTTGATTCTATTAACCAGATTATTTATGTTATGTTAAGTTGAAAGAAATGTGAAACGTATGTTAGAAAGATGATCATACAGTACAGATAATACAAACCTAAAGATGTGAGCCATTCTCTAAATACCAGTATCTTTAAAAGAACATGTAGAGCAATGTCATTTTCAGTGTTGGTGCTGCTTATGGTGGCAATGGCCCCTCCCCCAGAACATTATATCAGCTCACCTTGCCTGATTCCAAGATGGAGTTCTTAGGGCCACCTACTACCTCTTCATCTGAGAGCCACCAGTTTGTTTTATCCTGAAGCATTATTCCTTATAATGGCCTAGTTACCTCCTCTAGCAAAGATAGCTGGTAGTCAGCATCATCTAAAGCTGATAACAATGCCAGTATACTGATAACCAAAACATAGTACTTATGTAAAAGGAATACAGTTTCCCTGCCGAGTTCATCTTCTCAGGACCCACAGCTCCACTTTTTGACATCTGCCCCCCATTGTGAGATGAGCGCCACTAGTCCCAGAGGACAAGAGATCTGAGGGAATGTCATTCCTAAGTTCAGGTCTTCTGTGCCAATGCACTTAGCACTATCACTGGGCTGGATAACTTGCTCTTCTCTCTTGTGGTCAACTCTTTTTTTTTTCCACACCCCAACCTGATGGAATGCAATTAGCTACACTTAGCTACAGTGGCCTGGAGACAGGAACCCTTCCTTCTACTGGGTAGGTTCATTTTGTCTTTTGTGTAATGGCAGGATATCCTGCCACAGTCCTACATGAAAACTCATGTGAAGTGATCTTTTGTGTAGTTTAGTTAGCACTCCTTTTTTGTTACAACTTGATGTTGTTACGTTTAAAGAGTTAATGTTGTCCATTTTTCGTACCAGCCTGCTTTCTGCTTTGTCTAAACAGATGTTTCTATTCATGAATACTCATGTGTGTGTGTATGGGTGGGTGGGTGGATGTGTGTTTATATTCGGTCTTTTTTCTTTTTTAAGTTTGCTCTTTTTTTGTCCCTAAAACTGACTTTGTATTGACCAACCCTTCTTTTGACATTTTAACTAATTAGGTTTGTAACTTTTCTCACCAATGTATACTTTACATTAGTAGACTATGTAAAGTATTTCTGTGCACTTGATTTCATTGGTTAATATTGGCATTGATGTGGGTGCTAGGAGTAGTTTGCTTCAGTCCATACAGATTTTTTTCCTCCTCTTTAGAGTTTTTATGGTTTTATGTAAGCAGTTAATGTAAATATTGTGAGCATTACAGGTCATGCAGTGTTGTAACATTTTAAAAAATGTTGCACCTACTTTACAATTAAAAAGCTGGTCACTCGTACTTGAATTTTGCCCATAGAGCCATTTCTTTCTCTTTGCATTAATGCATAAATTACTTTTTTTTTAATCAAGGCCCAACCCTTCTTTCTATGCTTATTTTTTTTGTTTAACAAATCTATATTTTTCTAACAGAAGATTTTAACATTTAAAACAATTTTTTGCCAACTTTCTAACTTATGATGAAATACTCCTATATTTAGAGAGTGAGAAAATACCCTCATTTTGGAAAGTGAAATAATTGAATTCTGTATCTTGGCACAATGCAAGAAATCACACAAGTGGGATAGTGAAGCTGTGCCCCATAAGATTAATTAGACTCTCATTAGACTGATTAGTGGGTGTTTGTGTGGTGTTTTGAGGATATAAAATGCTAACTATCCTCATGTGTCTATTTATTTATTTATTCTTGGTGGGTTGTGATAAAATTATATAAAAATCAAAGGAATTATTCTTTCTATCATGGAGATTTATGAGCACCATTTAATAATTTTTATTTATGAAAAAAGTTTCCTATATTCAGTTATTTAGACTGAAAAGTATTACTGGCAATAGCTTTGAAACCAGTATCCAAAAATAATACATTCCCATGTCTCATGTCCCATGTCAGTTATGGCCACAGCCTAAGTTTGGAATTTTGTTTATAGTTTTATATTTAAATTTACCAATGCCATTGTGCAGAAAACTTCCTAGTAACACAATATTATTGTGGATTCCCAGAATTTAATGGTTTAAAGTATCATGGTGAACTGAATTACCTTTTATTAGTACAGTTTGTATTTTGCTACATAGGGTTTTTAATATGAATATTCCAGAAGAGCAGTAGCATAATAATGCTTTTCTATTTTAAAAGAACCCCATTCTAGTCTTACTAAGAATTAAATTTTTTAAAAAATATCAATTTTGTAAAATTTGATAAAATTGTCAATATTATGATTAAATCACAAAAAAAACTCACTGTGATGTTCTCTTCCAGAAGGGGGCCATGTTTGCACAACACCAATTTGGGAGGGGGTGCATGTACCTGACTTACAATGGGGTATGTTGGCACTACTGTTCTTTTAAATAGCCATAACATTAAGCAAGAGTCATTTGGTTATGATAGAATGTCTAGGACGCAGCCCTCAACTTACCTGCTATATCCAGGTAGTAATACAAATGTTAGGTCATGAAATACTGTATCCAGCAGGTCAGAATTTTAGATTACGTGACTAATTGTGCATTTTGCACAGGTCACTTTATATAGTAATTCCTAGAACTACTCCTCAGTTCATTATCTTCCCTGTTGAGGTATTTACCTCTCTGAAGATACAATTGTCTTGTAAACAAGCCGTTCTCTTTGAAGATCATAATTTTGTCTATGCAATCAATTGCATTTTATGTATTTTCATGACGTTCTTGAAAACATGGTACTGTGCACAGGCATATTTAGTGAAGATGTACAGTGAATATGTGCTTATTTGATCAGATGAAAGGTCTATCTAGTTTTGTATTCTGTTTCCTCAACAGCAGCTGTCCAGATACTCATGGGAAGCTCACAAACTGTTGCTTATGATGATTTCTTTATTCCCAGATCCTTGTAAGAAGGTATAATATGGCTCTTATGGCTTATGACATGCCTATTTTCCATTAATTTGTCTAATGTCATCTGTACCAATGGCTAGCGCTACATCCTTTAGCAATGAATTGAGCATTGCTTGAAGCATTTTTTTTTTGTCTTGAATCAACTTCACTGGATGACACCATGTTTTTGTGTTTGATGCTCTTGGGGAAAGAAAATCCATTCTAAAATTGACACGAATTTTGTTGAATATATCTTAGGAAGTCTGTTTAACCATGTCCTAAATAAGCTTCAAGGTGTTTGTTAATCCTGATGACATCTCCAAGAGTCCGTGGATAACCAGGAGCCCCTACCACAATGTCCTTTGTCTCAATAATAGTTGCTATGTCCTTTTCCAAGTCACTGGCATTCCCACTGGAGCTTTAGTAAAGGCATGCTACAAAGGATACATTCTGTCACTAAGACATAGGAGGCTTCTAAGGACATAATTAAAACTCCTGTGATAGAGCTTCCATTAATACACTTTTTTCATTATTAGAGTAATGGTTTTAATATGCCAATGAAAATAGCAGTACTTCTTCTCTTCTACAAGTGGTGAA